TTTTTTTTTTTTTTTTTTATACCGACACGTTGTCCATAAGAGAAGAAACTCTTCTGGTTCTTAACGACGATTATCTGGGAGATGCGAGATCTAATTTCCGCGACAGCGGGACATTCTAGGAACCCGCTGCCTCCGGGCTTGAACGAAATACTTCTGGAGCGATATTTTCACGACGGGAAGAGCAACGACGTGCCCGTGGACTACGCCGCGCAAATTATTCAGCAGGGAAGAGATCACGGACTGCCGTCTTACGTCAGATGGCGAAGGTTCTGCGATTTGCCGGAGGTCACGAACTTTCAGGATCTCAGAGGCGCGGTGGCCAAAGACACAATCGCGAAACTCCAAGCGGTCTACAAGTAAGAAAATGAGATACAAGGGTGAGATAACTAACCAGAGTGATCTCACTCGTCGTTGTGTTGTTGGAAATCTGATGCGAGCTTAACTCCGCGAACGCGAAATTTAAACAAAAATTCACTCTACCTGCGTGCGTTTCCGTTTAACTTGCAGACACGTGGAGAACATAGACCTCGTAACCGGGTTGCTCTCGGAAGCGCCGATATCCGATTCCGTTCTCGGACCGACGTTCGTCTGTCTGTTGGGACGGACCTTTCGAAACATTCGTTTGGGTGAATATACTATGTTGTTCTGACAATAATTATTTTTTTTTTAAGCGTTGGAAAGGTTGCAACTTGTTTCTTCTTTTCTTCTCAGGCGACCGATATTGGTACGAAAACGGAAACACTCCGGCTTCGTTCGCGATCAAGCAGTTGAACGAGATACGGAAGACCACGATGGCCCAGATTCTGTGTCGCAACGGCGACAGACTGCGGTGGATGCAACCGAGAGCTTTCATTCTGAAGGATCCCTTCCTGTAATTTAATAAATTTTGTTAAATAAATTTCAAATATAAACGCCGTGTTCATTAAAACGTGTGTCCGCGCGTATCCGCAGTGGACGTTCAATAGGGGGAGAGGGAGGGGGAGGGGGGAGGGGTGTTCCCCGCTGCGTGGAACGGGTCTTGAAACACATTTAAGTTATACGATCGAGAAACTTTTTTATACACAAGTTTTTTTATGTTTCAGGAATAACATGACGAATTGCACGAACTACGCGAGCGAGGCCATAAATTTTGCCGCTTGGAAGGAAAAGATCTGAGTCTCTCTCTCTCAGTCGTCGAATTTTAACAATGCTCATATTGTTCCTGACTCTCGTATGCATTACAACGATGCTCTCTCTTTCTCTTTCTCTCTCTCTTTCTCTTTCTCTTTCTCTTTCTGCTAGTTACATACTTACATCAAGAAGTGTGCGAACTTCTTTTTCATAAAAAAAAAAAAAAAAAAATCAAAAGTTTAATTCTGACACGTTTGTTTGTGAAAGAGATTTAATAACAAGAGAAATGTAACGTGCGTTGATACAAAATATTAATACCTCACGTAACGGAAGAAGGAAAGAAAAACGCTGTTAATGATCTCCCGTTTGATTATACGCGCATTTGTTGACACACACCTTGTTGTAGTACTACGTAGTAATTTTAATCGCAAACCACACACACATACATACATACATACACACACACACACACACACACACACACGTCATTGTTGTTAAAGTTTTCTCAGTTGTCTGATTGAAACACAAATTTTGGTCAACGATACAATCGGGCGAACAATTTTTTCAGGGCAAGTATATACATACATAATTGTAGATGTATAAATTTAATACGAGAGAACTCTGATACATTATATAATTTTCGAAAGAAAACTCGCTCGTCGAGAGTGCGCGATTATTTATGAAGCTTTTCGAATTTTTGTTTTGTATAAAAAAAAATAAATACTACATATATCGAAGAAATAATGTTTCCCTCTACAAATCATTAGAGAAGAATTCTTCTGTTGTCTTTTTTTAAACAAAAACGATGAAGACAGTGTTTTTACGTTCAGAGACATAATTTTAATTCCTCATTAAATTGTTATCTTGTCAAGATGTCATTTCTCATTTCGCAAGTGGAAAACAATTTTTCTTTGGATAATTTAATTTTCGGAATTTTTATGTTTGATTAAATTATTTTTTATTGCCGTCAAAAAGTAAAACGGCATGGCGCAGAGATATTTCAAAGAGATTAGAATAATATCGAAAACTTATAATGTTATATCGAATTTATAGAAAACTTGTAATTTTATCAAGATGAGAAAAAACAATTGGAACAATATAATTTTCATTTCTCGGAGCACGCATGCGTGAAATATAATAACATTTACATTAAAAAGAAAACAAAGTATAAATAAGTTAATCAAATGTTAGTTGCAAAATTTCAATCGAGAGCAATTATAATTGTGTATTGAAATAAAACGGTTTGAATAAAAAATTGCAATGACGTTGCGCGCGCATGCGCGCTAAATATTGCGGTGAACGTCGCACACACGAATGCAAAAAGTTTCTTACATAACAAGTTATCGGCGTTTTCAATCGGTGCGAGTTGAATCGAATTCAACAATCGATTATCGACGTCTTTCGGCGAATCGACACGATTGATCGAGAGAGATCTCCCAAACTGACGTCATTAATCACTTCGGGAGTGTACTACGGAAATCTCAGGTTTTCCTTACCCTCGACTTCCGGTTGTTCGGAACAGTCTTGAATATTATTTCGTCGGTTGGTTTTTTTTCGCACGCGGTTTGCACTTCGCGCAACACGTCCTCGGTACAGTCAAATATTTTAGCTTAAAAAATAACAGCTGGTCGCCTGTCATTTTTTTTTTATTCGACGAAATAATTTTTCTCGCTTTCGTTCGCCCCGGTGGAACATTCGGGAGATTTCTCGATATCGCTTGATATTACGTCAGTCGGTTGTGAGCGGAACGCGCGCACGTACAATTTGCGCGACTCCTATTCGCGCGTTCACGCGAAAACCCTAACGCGATTGGTTCGATCGGAAGATTCTCCGGGTGAGAATAGGTACGTATGCGCGTGACGGCGTGCGCGGGTCCTACGTTGTACGAGAATATTACGAGAGTTGCATCACTGCGCTACACACGCGAAGTTGATCGCGTTTCCCGATTCCGTTTTCTTCCGAATCGAAAAACTCTCCCAAGCCGGTGTAATTAATTAAGACGAAGCGAGAATGTTGGCCGCCGCGAGATTGCTGAATCGCAACTACGTTGGTGTCGCGTGCGACATCACCAGGAAGCAACAGTTCAGCATCCTGAAAAATGTGAGTAACCTTCCATCGCGCGATCCCGTGCTCCTTCCTAGGCTTTTCGTTGCTCGAATTGTTCGTCGAGCTCCGATGTCTTTTTTTTTTGGTTTTTTCTTTCTCTCATTTATCTCACGCGACGAACTCCGATCTGATTCGCGGAAGAGCGCGTTGATTCTCGTCGCCACGCCGGATCGCCGAAACCGGCACGTGGTGGACTTTTTTTTTCTTGATGCGTTCGGAAAAACTTCTCGCGAGATGATCGAGAGAGATTTTGAACAATTTCGTTTGTTATCTGTTTACAAGTAGCTACTGGGATTGAGATATCGCATCTCTTGGAAAAATACCGATCTCTTTGTTGTCGCATTAGAATCATTAATTTCTAAAGAAACTAATGCGTTAATTGGCAACATATATATATATATATATTTATATATTTATATATGTTGTATTTTTTTCTTATAGGTTGCAGTTCCTACAGTTACTGCACCACACAGGTTTACTGATGTACAGCAGTATCGATACAAGTAAGTATTTAAGAAATATGTGAGAAAACAATATTTGTTTCTCAGGTTTGTACGGAAGATAAATTGTCTTTACACAAACTTTTGTTTTTCATTTTTTTTAGGTCAGAGGGAGTAAAGGGTGCGGTTATAGGTATTGATCTCGGAACGACTTTCTCCTGCGTAGCGGTGATGGAAGGGAAACAAGCCAAGGTCATAGAAAATTCCGAGGGTTCTAGGACCACTCCGTCTTACGTGGCGTTCACAAGAGGTTTCTGTCAAATTTATTTTGTTACACAGTAGTGTTGCACTTAATGATTTTTCTGTATCTATTCTGTGGTGTGTGTAAGTTACACACATATGAGTAATGACCAGCGTCATTATATGCGTTGTGTAACAAAGATGTACAAAGCTTACAATCTCATTCAAAACTTGTTGTTTTTTTTTTTTTATCAGATGGCGAACGTTTAGTCGGTATGCCTGCAAAACGTCAGGCCGTCACGAACTCTGCCAATACATTTTACGCAACAAAACGACTGATCGGACGGAGATTTGACGATCCCGAAGTAAAGAAGGACATGTAAGTTGTGACGATATTTGGCCACAATGCGATATATAGGGATGAGGGTGATCTTTGGTAAATCCAAAGTTTAGTAACTTGCGATGGACTTTGGAACAAAAGTCCAAGTTAAATGAATGTTTATATAAATTTGTTGAACCTGCTGACGTGTGTAATTTATAACAAATGTTTTTTTTTTTTATTTTGCAGGAAAAGTGTAACGTACAAAATAGTGAAGGCGTCCAACGGAGACGCTTGGGTTCAAGGTGCCGACGGGAAGATGTACTCCCCGAGTCAAATAGGAGCGTTTGTACTTATGAAGATGAAAGAAACAGCCGCGGCTTATTTGAACACTTCCGTAAAGAATGCCGTTATCACCGTGCCGGCGTATTTCAATGACTCCCAGCGACAAGCCACGAAGGACGCCGGCCAGATCGCTGGATTGAATGTACTTCGAGTGATAAACGAGCCAACCGCGGCTGCGCTCGCCTACGGCATGGACAAGCAGGAAGATAAAATGTAAGTTGTTTTTCTTCATCATTGATTGCGACATCTCTGAGATGTTTTAAATATGTTAATTTGATGATTTTGATTGTAATTAAATGTAAACGTTTTTTTTTTCTTCAGCATTGCCGTTTACGATTTAGGCGGTGGCACCTTCGATATCTCGATTTTGGAAATCCAGAAGGGTGTTTTCGAGGTGAAATCTACCAACGGAGATACATTCCTTGGAGGCGAAGATTTCGACAACTCGTTGGTTAATTATCTCGTATCCGAGTTCAAGAAGGAGGTGCGGTGTTCTGGAATTTATAGTTAGTTTACACAGCGCAAAACTTTGTTGTTTCAAATTGACTAACGACGCGTTAAAATTTTATTTGGCACAGCAAGGCATAGATGTGACGAAGGATCTGATGGCGATGCAGAGACTGAAGGAAGCCGCGGAGAAAGCGAAAATCGAACTGTCGAGTTCTCTTCAGACGGACATAAATCTACCTTATCTCACGATGGATTCGAGCGGTCCGAAGCACTTGAATCTTAAACTGTCCAGAAGTAAATTCGAAAGTCTCGTGAGCGATCTGATCAAGCGTACCGTTCAACCGTGTCAGAAGGCGCTTTCCGATGCCGAGGTGTCGAAGGCCGAAATCGGCGAGGTTCTTTTGGTCGGCGGTATGACGAGAGTACCGAAGGTTCAGCAAACCGTTCAGGAAATATTCGGCAGACAACCATCCAAGGCTGTGAATCCGGACGAAGCTGTGGCCGTTGGTGCAGCGGTTCAAGGAGGTGTGCTCGCGGGAGATGTGACGGATGTTCTGCTTCTCGATGTCACTCCTCTGTCGTTAGGTAAACCGCTCGCGTTCAAATGTCGTTTTTTTTTTTTTTTTATCTTCGTTGTCACAAAGAACATGATGTACAAGACTAATCTTCTCTCGGAGAATAGAATTCGCATGAAACATTTGGATTCGCGATGAAGAAATTTGCTCACTGACATTTTTTTCTCGTTCGTTTTCGAACAACGAGTCGCGCGCTCAAAAACGTGATGAAGTAAATCGCTTTTTTTTTTTTTTTTACGTTATCTACGTAGGTATCGAAACGCTCGGCGGTGTGTTCACAAGATTGATCTCTCGCAACACAACCATACCTACGAAAAAGAGTCAGGTGTTTTCCACGGCCGCGGACGGCCAGACTCAAGTCGAGATCAAGGTTCATCAGGGCGAGCGAGAAATGGCGTCCGACAACAAACTTCTGGGACAGTTCAGCCTCGTCGGGATTCCGCCCGCGCCGAGAGGCGTGCCGCAGATAGAAGTTACGTTCGATATCGACGCGAACGGCATAGTTCACGTGTCGGCTAGGGACAAGGGAACTGGCAAGGAACAACAAAGTGAGTCGAATTTTTGTGTATTATTTTGTTTCATCGTCAATTATATCTCAATAGCTGCGTTACAGTGATGCGTTAAATTTTTCGTCTCTCAAGTTTGCTTCGACAAAGTGAAGCAAACGATGTTGACACACCGAACTGAGTCAACTTTTACCGACTAATTAATAGATTTGTCTTAATTAAAACGTTGTGTTATAATTGTGCGCGATTTGTTTAGTTGTTATTCAGTCTAGCGGTGGCCTCAGCAAGGACGAAATCGAAAACATGGTCAAGAGCGCCGAGCAGTACGCGAAGGCGGACAGAATCAAGAAGGAAAGAGTCGAGGCTGTTAATCAAGCCGAGGGAATTATACACGACACGGAATCGAAGTTGGAGGAATTCAAACCGCAATTGCCACAGGAAGAGGTAGGATTGTCGTTTACTTATTGTCGTTTTTTTTTTTTTAATAGGAACCTGTCGTCGCTCACTTGTTTTTTTTTCTCTTACAGTGCGACAAGCTTAAAGAATTAGTTGCAAAACTGCGTGAGACTTTGGGTAAGAAGGACGACGTAGAACCGGAAGAAATAAAGAAACAAACGAGCGAACTTCAACAAGCGAGTTTGAAATTGTTCGAGATGGCGTACAAGAAGGTAGTTTGTGCGAAAAAACGCGATTTTTCGTGAGCGTGATTCGCGAACGATTTTGTTTGAAATCGCGTTTGCAATCTTTTTTTTGTTTCTTTTCAGATGGCAGCGGAGAGGGAAAGTCAAAACCAGCAGCAGTCGCAGCAAGAACCCGAGAGCGAGAAGAAGGAGGAGAAGAATTAATTTGTAACACACGTTTTTTTTTTTTTTTTTTTTTTTTTTGNAAAAAAAAANAAANAAAAAAATTAACATTTCCACTTTTGTGTACACTTACTACAAAGCATTTCGTTGCTGTTTTACAAGCTCAAAAGTAAGTTGAAGAGAATACGAGTAAAAAAAAATAGTAATACAAAAAAAGTAATAGAAAATCTCAATGTGTCTCGCGCATTGATAAAACATTTATTAAACCAAGAAAACTTGATAAAAAGTTTCAAGTATTATATGTTTTTATTATAGAAAGAGGAGAAGGGATTTGAGTTTTCGATTCGTAGCGAGCTGTTTTACTTTTGTAACAACAAATTTTTCATAATTTATATACTTAGATACGTGTAAGTGTTACGAGTTGCATCCTACAAAAATGTGCTATGCAAATCTTTTTGTGTTTCTTTTGAGGTATTCGGAAAATAACAGCCGTCACAAGTCTGTAGTTCCAAATAACCCTTTGTTATGGACGTGCACAGTTTTTTTTGTGCATCGTATGACTGTGTGCAGGGTGCGGCCGAAGTGGGAAAGAGGTGTCTTATACAAAAAAAAAAAAAAAAAAAAAATACAGAACAAAGCGCGACTGTTCGACACGTTCGATAAAATTGAAAAAAAAAATTAATAACGTGTACTTCGCACGTTAATAAATTTTTCGCGATAAATTCAAAGTTTAAATCTCCTCTGTGTTTAAATAAAGCAAGTTATCACAAGATTAAATGTGCATAATAAAAATTCTGACGAGGGGTTGTGTGGCATATTTTATTTTTCTCAATCACTGTATATTGTCAAAATACAGTTTCAATTTCTTTAAAAAAAACAATGTCTGTTGTTCGGAAAACTTACTTCACATTATCGACTTTTGTTTCTGTGTGCGAAGAATCGCTCTCTTTCCCGTAGTAGTGCGTAAGAGTCATTTTGATCGCACTCTGTACAACGGCCAGTGTGTAAGAGAACTCGGCCAGGTAGTTTTCACAGTGAAAAAAGAAAAAAAGAAAAAAAAACATGTACATATGTAGTCGATCACACATTTGTCTTTTGCATAGCATGACTTATGTAAGGGATAAAAATGCGTACAGCGCCCTACAAACCATATGTCCAAGATACCATTTTTCAATTATGATTGTACAATTTGTACCAAAAATAATGTGAAATAGTTTATTATAAACAGTTCCGCAATTACATTAATTAATCTTGCTACTGTAGAGAATCTTAAAATAATGTTACACTCGGAATGAATGAATGCGAGAGAGTTGAGAATACAGAAAAACTTGAGAGACTGAGACGGAATGATTCTGTGCATCGAAAACAAAAAAAAAAAAAAAAAAAAAAAACATTATTCTGTAAACAATATATTAGGTTTACTTTAGTAGAAAATTTTGTTATACGAACATTTATAACAGATCTATATAATTTCTCTTTTTAATTTAAACGTCGTACAGAACTTTGTGTGGCTTTGTTCGGTTACTCAATAAATCGGAAATTTTAATATCAGGTGTGTATAATCTGCTACTTTTTTTTTTTTTTTAATGAAAAGTCGATGTTTATTTTTCAAACGATTATAATATTGTTCGTCGAGTAGAGGTAGAAACAGTCGTCGCAAACTTCAAAAAAAAAAAAAAAGCTAAGGACACAAGAGATCCGAACACTAAAGGTTGTAACGTGAAAAATAGTGTTTTGTTCGTCTACTTCTATAAAGTTTTGTTCTAGCTAGTCCATATACGGGGTCGTGTGTGTCTTCACGGATCGTCACTTTAATTAATCGTAAATTACTAAAATATTTTATTATGCAATAAATATATATATATATATATATGTGTGTGTACATAAACAAAAAATGTATAAAACCAAAGTACCGAACAATTCATGTTAAGAATATTTTACCCTTTTTTTTTGTTTTTTTTTTTTTTAGTTTAAACCTTTGCATTTTCTTTGATGGGCAGTTGATTAGCTATGTATTCCCAGTATCTATGTCTTATCGGATCATATACCTCTGATAAACTCTTACATAGCTGAAACATACAGAGTACTCGCAATGAAATTTTCGTCGCAAAAAAATTTGTATACAATTTAAAAAATTTTATTCCATTCTAAAAAAAAAAAACGAATGGAAACAAACTCACATTATAAGCAGTATTGATGTGGAACAGGGAGGATGGGGATTCTTCGTCGGAAACTCTCTCTTGACAAATGTCAATGATGCAGGCCAACAAGTGATTAACGCGACATCCGCTTTCGTACATTTGTTGACACTTAAGTCTCACTTTTTCATTGTAACGCAAACCTTTGCTATCGTGCAACAATATTCTACAAAACACAACATTAAATAATCTTACTTAACACTCTTCCAGTCTTATTAAACTTGCGGCATGTTGCAAATTCAGAATAGAATTTACCCTCTCAAGTAGTTCCAAGCGCTTTCATTTCCCTTTACTTGTTCTATTTTGTCTAGTGTATAATTAACTTCTCTATCTATCACCTCTTGCTCGAACTTGGTTGTATTGCTTATCACGAAGTAACGCTGGTTCCAGGCGGAATTATTGCGAACATCGTTATTTAACAATCGCTCCACACATCTCAGCTCCTTCTCGTACAAACTGCAATCATAAACATAAAAGTTGCAATCAATTTTTTTCTACAACACACTCGTGAAAGAAAGTGCGTGAGATGGTGTACAAACTTGAAAGTTTGCATGCACCACTGGCGATGTTGCCAGGCATGATAATTCTTGGCATCCTTGTCTAAAACAGATTCTGTAAATGTTAATTCCTGACTTGGATCTTGCAGCCATTCCACAATGACCTTTCTGTGATGCCAGACTTGATAGTTTTTAGAATTGTGTTTTATTATGTGACCAGTGTATTTCAATTCCTCGTGCAGATCCTTTCCCAGAGCCTTGAGTATCTCCCTTCTGTACTGCCACACGGTGTAATTGGCCGGATTTAGCCACACGCATGTTTCCGTCAAACCCAACGCGCGATCTGACTTTTCACCTGACCTTAGAATGGCACGGAAATAATCATACGCATCCTTGACTACAATGTAAGATAAAAAAAAAAACAAAAATAAGTTCAGATACGATTTAGCTTTAGTACGGTACGTGCAACCATTCTGTCAATCATGTACTTACACTTCTCAGAATACGCAATTGCCACAATGGGATGAGGACCGTCATCCTGAGGCAGAGGAGTCACGTCGCTCCACTCCTCGCGATGTTTGTACAAGACCCATTGCGTTTTCTCCATGTCATCGCCGTAATTGAACTCGTCGTCAGAAGTGTCCGACATGTTTTATCTCAATAATATGATATTTTCTTTGTGATGTTGTGTACTTATACCGGATGGTTTGGTGCTCTTTTAGCTCAGTGGACCTATATAAAGTTAGTCCTGGTTAGTCCATACGCCATTCTATGTCTTTTTGATAACAGGTTTAAAACCTGTGGGTTGGGTTTTCCTGACGCCAAGCCACGGAGTTGTATATTTGTTTAAATTAAAGATAATAATAAAGTGGTGTAAAACACCGACAATTGTTCCAAAAAATATTCACAACGTAACTACGCACATCCAACCGATTACTACTTACTTATACCGGAGAAGTGACGGCCGCAGATTTGTTTCTTCAACAAAGTTCTTCACTTTGAGGTTTTGATTTCATTGGGTGCGTTCAGACAACTCAACGGTTGAAAGATCGTCACTTACGATAGGACTATTCTTTAAAATCTGCTGTGGTTCCAAAAGTTTGATCCAATCAAGAAGTGATTATCTCTCAACCGTTGTGCAACTGTTGAGTTGTCTGAACGCACCCATTAAAATCCTTGGGTGCGTTTAGACAACCACGTGCGAATTGGGATTGAAATTTGACCAATCGTAAGAAACCAAATCTCCAGTTTTAATGAACTCCGTTCTGATTGGTCAAATTACAATCCAATCTCAATCCGTAGTGCGAAACGGACTTTAAGGGCGATGTCCCATTGTGCGGAAATCTATAGCGGAACGGAATGTGCGGAACCAGCTCGACCAATCGTAATCAAAGAAAAAGCGAAGGAAAGAAAACGGAATAGCTATGATTGGTCGAGCTGGTTCCGCACATTCCGTTCCGCTATANATTTCCGCTCAATGGGACATCGCCCTAAAGCCTATGTCACACTACGGATTGGGATTGAGATTAGATTGAAATTTGACCAATTAGAAAAAAGAAAACCAATCCTAAGTTTAGTGATCTTCTCTCTGATTGGCCAAATTGCAATCCAATCTCAATTCTAATCCGTAGTGTGACATAGGCTTAAGGGTCTGTAAAAAGTGAAACCGCGTTGATACCGCGCGAATCCAGGTGGCGCTATTATCACTCAGATCTCTTTAACCATCTTAAAATATATTACGCAATTATCGGTCTGACCATGTGCGGCGTCATGTTGTATATATACAAGCCGGCACAGATAAAAACAACTACGCCGGTTCTCCGAGTCACGTACGCACCAGCCGAATAAGCCGGTGTTTATATATAATCGGATTTTATTTACAGTCCGATAGTCCGATTATAAATATCGTCTTATGCGTGTGTGTGTGTGTGTGTGTGTGCGTAAGCTTATCTGAAGACGATGTACAGCCAAATGAGACGGTTCGCACAGCATTTTAAAATTCAAGATAAATTTAAACCGAACCCCGTTACGTCAATTGTAACAACCGTTCTGTCAAAATATGACATTTCTCAAACGTCACCGAATTCATGGCTCGCTTAGTTCGCTTCGTAGACGCGTTTTTCGGTTCAGATTTTTTAGTTTTAGATTAAACTTAAACGAACCAACGCAAAAATTCATTAAAACGGACGCAGGTCGACTAATAATAAACCAGCGTTATATAATCGCGTTGTTGTTTTCACCTTCGCTTCTATCATGTGTTTTTATCTCTCGCAATTATCTTCCGCTAACACACAAACACCGCGTTTAATCGCAATTTAAACCACCTTGCGTAATTTCGTCTCGTAACTACGCCGCGCGATAATTCGCTTTCAGGAAATTCAAAGGATAGGAGAGATCAGGAGGTAAAAACAAATAAAAACACTCGATTTTTAATTATACAAGAACTACCTACTTATTTATTTATCAATTTACTTATTTACTCAACAAGTGTTCTTTTATTGCTTACAAACTTAGAAAAAAAAAGTAAACCTGAGAGCACACCCATTATTGTTTGAAAAAACACTCGAAATTTACGCGCCGTAGGAACAAGAAATAATATGTATGGAGAAGTGATACAGCACATACATGTGATCAGGCGCATATGTGTATGTATATATATATCTATAACACGCAATATAATATTATATGTCTCTACATAAAAACATATTTTGACATATTTCGATCAGTCGTACAAGAGAAAAATCAATTACGTATCATCAAAGTGATACATATATATATGATCTCAGTCATATAAAATTTACTTTGAGCCTTCCTTCTTCTCCTTCTCAGCCTTTTCCGCCGCCTTTTCCTGGAGCGCCGGCTTACCGGTCTGCTCGATCTTGACGACGCGCTCGTTCTCCGGCAGCCTGTCTTTCCTGGGAGCGGTGATGGTGAGAACTCCATCCGACGACAGACTGGACGACACCTGTTCGATGTCACATTGTTCAGGTATCATGTACTTGCGTACGAACTGACGCGAGATCCAGCCGTGCTCGTCCCGCTTCTCCTCGTGCTTGGCCTCGACCACCACGTATCTGTCCACGACCTTGACGTCGATCTCGTTCGGTTTGAACTGCTGCACGTCCAGAATCACCTGGAACTGATCCTTGTCCGCTTTCACGGTGGACGTGCCGCCTTCGCGCGTGTTGCGCAACAACTCGCCCCATGGTCGATAGTAGTGCAGGGGCGAATGTCTCGGGCGAGGTGTGACCGCAAAACGCTCGAGGATGCTGGGAGTCGTCAGTTGCTCGGGAAGAATGCCCAGACCGAAGTTCTGGTCGAGGATTCGGTGCGGCTGCTCCAGATCCTCCCACCAGTCAGAGAACAACAGCGGTACCAGAGACATGTTGCCGGATGTATTCTCCGATTGATCCAAGTAAGTACACAAAAAACTGCGCAACTACGAAAAGATTCGCTTGGTAGAGAGAGCTCGCTCGCCTCTGTAGCACGATTCGCACCTCGTGATCGCTTTGTGTTGACTGTTGCCCCACGGCACCGCGCGCCGGCGTTTATATACGGTCGCGCCGGCACGTCAACAGATGCGCGTCGACATGTCGCGCTATTGCGAGAACATTCTCGGCTTACTGCGCGAGAACAAATTCGAATCTTCGCGACCGATAATTCGACCGTATTCTCGCAATTACGGACGACACATTCGCGCGCGACATTGTCGATTTTCGCATCTTCGCGAAGCTGCGCGTTATGGAGTGACAGAGTTCGCGGACAAAATTGTTATTTTCGTCAAATTTTACGATCGAAGTCGCACGTAGCTTTTTGTGTGTAAATGCGCAGAAATATCTAATCGGGCACTCAGGCCTGATTAGCGCACGCCGGTGAATCGGTAAAGTTTGAACGAGAGAATTTTATTTCTTCTTAATGAAATGTTTGTCATCCAATGTAGACGAGAATATCGAAATGCGATTATTGAACCTCGTTCGGCGTTACGCCGAAGTTTAACGGTCACGCATAAATCAACCGTTGCTCTTCCCCTATGCCCTGAGCCAAAAAAAAAAAAACCAGAACCTTCGAGACCCCGTTTCTTTGTGCGAGTTCACCTAGTGTGATGCTAAACCTGTACGGTAGATTGTGTAATTGTAAAACGTAATTTCGCACATTATATACAAGATTATTGTCCTATGTAAGCGTGTGACAATGTACATTGTTGATCATATGTAAAATTGTTGATTATATACATATTGTATTTGATTACATATATTTATATTATATATTTAAAGTCTTGATAATCGGTTATATACATGTAGTTTTTTTTTTATATATTTTATATATATATTTTATCTATTTTATATATAAAATTATACGCGACGCAATTCTATACATGTAGTTTTTTTTTTTTTTTTTTTTTTAAAACAACGAGAAACTCTTTGATTTTCTATTACTTACAGACAATTAAATTTTATTACCGCGTCTGCCCGTTCTAT